CTTCCCTTGTCCTGGTTTCAGCTACCAGGTCCCTTAGATGACCTTGTCTTACCAGGTCTTCCAGATGTGCCTTTAGGGCTCTATACCTTTGAGTTAGATGTCCATCCTCATTGTGGTAGGCACAATGTTTCCCTAGACTTTTTCCCATAAATTCACCAGGAAGCTTCTCTGGTGCTCTATAATAGGGCTGATTTTGGATTCTTTTCAAGACTTTGTAAATCGGAATTCGGAATACGGTTGTGACTGCCTGTGCAGCCCTCAGTCCTGTCTCTTGCTTGTTATATCCAGTGTTACCTCGGCCTCGCTTTGGCGAGCTGTTTCTTTTCTCTTGTTTTGACGCCTTTGTCCCCGGCGTGTCTTCCTCAGCTCTCACATACTTCTCTATCCTGGCCAAAAGTTCCTCTATACTATTTGGTAGTGTCTTTGCCAGTGATTTTCGGAGCAGACAATCATCTTTCAAGCCATTCTTAAAAGACAGGACCGCCACTTCTTGATTGCATCCTGGTATTCAGTTGAACACCTCATAATACCTTTTAGCATAGGCCCTAAGGCTTTCATCCTCGCCAATTCTTAGAGCCATCAGGGAGTCCACCCTCAATTGCTGTAGTTTGTTTGTCACAAATCTAACCACGAACATCTCAGCTAGGCCTTCCTAGCTTTTCACAGTTCCTTTCGGCAACTTGTGAAACCAGTCTGATGCGATTTCCCTAAAGGATGAGGGGAACACTTTGCAGAGCAATGGCTCGTTCCCTGTGTATAGTGTCATTGTGTTCAGGTACAAGTCAATGTGACAATTAGGGTCAGATTTACCGTCGTATAGCTGGAACTTTGGCATGTAGAACCTTTTCGGGGCCTCAAATTTGTCCAACTCCACCGAGAATGGCAGTCTCGGCTTGACCGGAGAGGTTACCTCGGCATCTTGTCGCTTTCTCTAGAGGTAATCCCGCAAATCCTCCTTGGTTCGTCCAGGAGCTCGGCTATCAACGGATTTCAGCCTTTCGGCGCGCTACTCCCAGTATCGTTATGAGTCCTCTTAGACCTCTCTCCGTTCGTTGCGTCAAAACAAAGTTCCTTCCCTTGAACATGCCGATGTTCTTTGGGGTCAACTTCTTTGGTACGATACGTCCTCCGAGAATCTCCCTTCATTGACTCTCCTCGTTCGACCTCCCTTGAAAGCCGGTGAGGGTGTTCATTGGTCCTAGTGTGCTGGGGGACTGTAGGGACTGTTTTCTGCCCTACTTTCTGGGCATCGTTCTTGGCCGCAGGAATCGGTGTCTTGTAACGGGAATGGTGGCTGCATGACGTTGTTCTGCATCATGAAATTGACGACCGATTATAGGTCCGCCAATTTATTCGCCATTTCATTCATCTCTCTGTCCCTCCGCAGGCATCTATCTTTCCATACCTGGAGGTCGTTCTCGTTGTAATACTCGCCTCGGTTTGCCTTCTTTGGTACGTCTCCCTCCTGGCCAACGTTATTCTCTCCGGGATTCTGATCCCAAGTTTCTTTGTTGTAGTTATCCTTCTCTACGTTGGGATCAAAGTGTTTATTACTTCCAGTATGGATGTCGTCCCCAATCTTCTCTTTCTGTCCGTTGTTGGCCATCTATTCTCTTTTCTTTCCCATAGACGGTGCCAAATTGTGTGTGTTATTTTTTGACCACACTACAAAACAGGTACTCACCTGGAGAATACCGGCAGAATAGACTGCGCCCGAACGACCTGTCACAGAAAGAAAACACTTCAGCAGTGGTTCTTCCACCCGGGGGCACTCCGACGATCAAGTCAATACTCAATTATCTCTCAAAGATAATAATTAGTACTTAACTCATTAGCCAGAATACAAAAAGCATACCTTAAACCTACGAGGGTGCCTTACTTCTATAGCCAGTATTGACCTGATCCCTGTAGAAGCCTAGCTTCAATGGACTATGGCTCAATGCTTATCCTGGACTCTCAAATAGATAGAGATAAACTCCCTGAGAGCTTTATCTTTATCCAGACTGAGATCCTTCCCCATTCTAGGACTCTTTTGACTTATCTGTTTATCCCGGACTCCAGCATCTCCGCAAATAACCTTGACCTAGCTGAGAGCATCTCGACGTCATGACCAAGACATGTGGCACCTCGGTTGGCACTTCGGTGCCACCTTGGCCACGTGTTGTCATTCAAAAAATATGTCCCCACAATAAATATGAGATGAGTACATCTATTAGGATTTGGATAATTGAGTGAAAGAAGAATGACGTGAGTGGTATAATCACGTGTCTTACAAGAGTGTGTGCAGGTGTAAAGGAGTCTAAGTGTGAATAGTGTCTCCATTGCGTAATGTATATGACTCATGTTTATGAAATGTTATTTTACATGAATGAATGGATGTTCCTTTTTGAAATGTGATATTGACCCTTTGCTTGACCCTTGTGGTCCCTTTGATACGCCTTCGGGCTCTTTGTATATGAACGGATTTTGATACGATAAGTGTTTGTTATGAAAATGATATTTGGAAATAATTTAAGATATATATTTTGCAATTGTATGTCATTTTTACATAATGTGGTGAACACCATTCATTAACCTCTTTATTTTGGTATTACTCGCTGGGCTCTAACTCACTCTTTTATATATATATATATATATGTAGGTGAGCAATCGAAGGATCAGCATTAGAGTTTATCCCAAAGTCCGCCTCTCCGTCAAGCCACCCATGAAGTGCCTCCGTGTAGAGGCATAGTGTTATTTCGCCATGCCTAGTTTTTTTTTTTTTTGAAGTCTTTCATATAGTGTGTGAGATTTGTATAAGCTCTGTCATTATATATGTAAATATGAAAAATGTAGTTAAATGGTTAATTATTTCAGCTCTGTCATTATATATGCACAGCTCAATAAACATTTATTATTTTTGTTCTACTTCCGCTTAAGGCCCTGTTATTACATAAGAATTTTTGGAATTTTGTCTCTGAGGCCTGAGTACAAGCTGGTCATGGCCTAAAATTTTAGGGACGGTTTTGAGTCGTGACAATTATTCTCATAAAGTTTTTTTTTTTTTTTTTTTTTTAATTGTATAAATAGAGTTTTTCTATTTTTATACATTTTCTTTTACATGTTTCAATAATTTGTTTACGCATATACCAGCATAACCATTGCCTAATGAATGGTGGTCAGCATTTCTCTATAAAAACATATTTTATGTGTATATATATTATTTATTCTATTATATAATACAAACACTTGAGTTAAAATCAAACTTGACAAATTTTATTTTATTTTTTTAAATTCCTAAACTACCATTTTTCTATTCTTATGTTTACCCAATTCAAATACAGTCAATTCATACACAAATATGGGCCTTTTTTGGCTGTAAATGTGAGTTAAAAAACTATTAAAAGTGAATTAGTAGGAGAAAGGTTAGGAATGAATAGGTTAGAGGACGAAAAAATAAGAATTAAAATATTCACTAAAATGATAAATATAAAAAATAATATGCTGTAGTATGATTTACGTACACAGTGCATGTGCACCCTCCTAGTTATTATAAATAAAATCTACAACTGAGTTGGCATAGACTATTACATATTTTTTTGAATAGAATATTTTTGTATTTAAATAGAATATTTTTGGTGATCAAAATTTAGTTTAATAGGTATATTAATTGTGTGAGGGTATTTTCGTTAATTCACATGTTCAGTCGGCTCCACGCAACAAGCTTTGAAAGATTTGATCTATCCATTAAAGTAATTATTTGGATACATATTCTTGTCATATTGTAAAAGGTTTTATTTAAAAAAAAAAAATTCAAAAGCTTTTCTAAACTTTTTTGGAATTAATTGCAAAAATCTGGCCCTACCTTTTTTGGGCGATCGATCACAATGTTTAAAGCGATCCATCGGTCAGCAGTCACAATGCTTTAAAAAATAGAATCGCCCAATCGATAGGCGATCGATCGATCGCTCTTGTGGTTATGATCGATCGCTCTTCCGTTTATTTCGAAATCCTAATTCTATTTGTTTATGAATTCTTTTTCTCTATAAAAAGCTTTCTCTAAACCCAATTTTAGGGATCACAACTATTGATCTTTCATAGAAAATTACTTTATTCTCTTTAGAGAGTTAAGTTTCGAAACTCACAAAATACTTTAAACACTTTGCACTCTTGCATTGTTTGTTCTACACTCTTGACCAGTTGAGTATTGGAGTTGTTTGTTGAACGAAGATTGAAATTGAAGTTTCATAGAATTCTGAAGATCAAGAAGGTTGACTGGGTCATGTTGTGCTTGTGGAGTTGCTACAAAAACATCATGTTAAGTAAACCTAGATGAAAGTTGTAAATCTTCTCGGCTTTGTGTTTGCATTCTTAGATCTTATTAGATTGTATTGAGTATTAAGACCGTATCTTTTCACCCTTGTGGGTTTTCCATGTAAAATTATGTGTTTTGTGTTGATTGATTATTTATGAATTAATCTGTTTAATCAACTAAAATTGAACATAAATTTGATAAATTTTAGGATAAAAGATAATTTAGACCTTAAAATATGCGTTTTTTGCCATTTTAGTCCCTTAAGTTTCAATTTTATCATTTTGGTCCTTCAAGTAGTTAACTTGAGTCAATTTAGTCCTACCTCTTAACATTCATAACGGAAAAAGTATTTTATCCTTAAATAAAAAACAGTTTTGGTCCCTAAAGTATGTATTTCTTATCATTTTAGTCTCTTAAGTTATAGAATTTCACGATTTCATTTTCTTCTCAACTTTAGACATCTAGTGTTGTGAACACCTTGACTAAAAAGTTTTGTTTCATGGTAGGCTCAAAATAGATCTAAGTTTTGTCATCCTCCCATCTGGTTGTTGGTTGTTGATTTTATTTTGTCTGCTAATATCAAGGCATCAACTCTCTCAAGAGTTCTCCACCAAGAAGCTCATGACAAGAGCAAGGAAATTTTCAGACATAATCTTTGTCAAAACACAATTTCCTTTTTTAACACAATCTTTAGTCACTATCCATGTCTTCAAAATTTGGCAGTAATAGGAGCAGAGAAGGACAATAATCATGCTGACAGACGGACTTAGCTACATACTGACCTCAACCAATACCTACTTAATGACAATTTAATTAAGGAAAAAGAGAGAGACACCACATTTTTCACCGCTTCTCTCACAAGGCGTTGTGGGACCCACATCGCCTCCTGTTGTAAAAATGTGGTGTTTGATTTACATACTTCTAAAAACTTCAAGACAATATGTCCATATATGAAAGAATAAACCAAAACAAACCAGTTTTTTATTCATGAAAGAGATGACTTCCTTCCAAGTCTTCAAAAACAAAAGCCCAAATCACTTTGCAACAAAGAGAACAAGTAGGACTAGCTTTACTATTCCCAGTAGAAGTGAAGAGTTTGCGAGGCTTCATTCTCAGAGGACAAATCACGCGCCATCTGAAACAGTCCCTGGCAATGGACATCAGTGTCACTGTCATTAGGAACCAGAAGCAAATCCATACTCTCCAGACTACTATTTTGCAGGCTTGGTCCTAAGGGATATGCTGCTGGAATTGAAGTGGTCGGTACCATGTGGCTCAAACCAATCTCAGATGTTTGCAATGGCGACGATGACAGAAGAGAGAGAGCACAATTGGAGCTGAGGGCTTGAGTTGATAAACCATCACAGAACATTTGGCAGATATTCCCACCACTTTCTGATGAAGCAACGGTTTTATGATTTGGCTGGCAGGTTGAGGCTTGTGTAGCTGTTTGGTTGCTGAGAACAAGAGCAGTGCTGTGAAGGAAACTGAATTCCTTCCCTTCTTGTCTGTAGCTGCCAGAGGAGGATCCGGGATATGGGTTCTGTTTGTTCTGTTTATAAAGCTTAGCATCCTGCTTGGTTTCGACAATTCCAGCCCAGATGGGACTCGCCAAAGGTGTGTTTGGATATGCTTCTGGACTGGAAAAAGGAAACAATCTAGCACCTGAAAGGGTTGCATAAAACACAACATCACTTTTGAATAGATAGTGAATCATAATCAATATTTGATAGTAGTAAATTCCCCCCTCCTATCAATTAAGCCTAAAAAATGCATGAATCCTAATTATGGTAACCATGTAATAGGAAACCGGATTTTTTTCTAGAGAAAAAAAATTGGATCAATTTCCGTTTCTCGCAAAATCTGAGAAAATATCGCATGAATATTCTACCATAGTGGGTATTCAAGAATCAGTAGATGAAATTTTAATGATTTGAAAAAATAAAGTAAAATATTGTGTTGAGAATAAAGTAATCTATATAGAACTTATGACATGACAAGTACATATCTCATGTAAGTTAAACCCCCCACCTCATCAATAGATTTAAAGAGAAGGAAAGGGAAAAGAGTAGCCACAACCATTGGATTCAAGAATTGCTTAGGAAACAGTTATTTCAAAAGGTTAGTTCTATTAGTGTGGCTTGAATGTGTACTAATTTTGCTGTTGCAATGATAGAATTGCGTTTGTATCAGATCATGTTTATGGATGATAAAAAAATGAGTTCAAAATTTTGTAGATGATGATAAGAACCTTGGTAATTAGACAGAAAGCTCCCTGAATGTGACAAGTGCTCAGGCTGAGGCTTTCTTCGTCGACGGTTGTGTCCATCAAGACGCTTCCTGCAGCTTCGCTTGCCATCATCAAATTCTTCTAGTGAATGGAACCTACATTAAAGATGATGGAATAGTTGAGAAGCTTCAGACTCAACAATACAAAATCAAACATACATAGAAAAGGTGTTGAAACTGGACAAAATTTAAAAAATGGCATGAAAGCAAAAGCATTCTCAAAACCTTAATTTTCCCAATCCTGTTTACAAGAATTACTTACTGAATGCAAGAATTTAATCAAATCTATGCTTTTGCAAAGCTAGATTAAGTGGTCCAAAGGAAAATTAATGCTTAGGGTAGTGAAAAATGCAAGAGTACTTGTTGTTGGGTATGCAGACAACCTTCAACAGAAAGCCTAAGCCCGGGGGGCGGGCTTCCACGACTTTTTTTCAGACCTGTTTGTCTATTTTCAGCCCATAAACTTTTACCCTATATAATGTAACAGTGTTTATACATTTTAGGGTTAGAGAGAAAAAGAGGCTGCTGCCATTTTTTAGTGTGTGAGGAAGGAGAAGAGTGTTTGTAATTCTATACTCAATATAGTGAATTGGCGTGGCTCCCGAGCACCTAGGCACGTTGCCGAACCTCGCATATCTGTGTGCTCTGTCTATTTATTGTTTCTGTGATTTATAGTTTCCAAGATCTGTAGGGCTTAGGGATTGAACACATAGTTTAAATCCTAACACTTCTGTCATTAGAGATCCATAAAAGTGGGGTACTAACCTAAAGTTTGCTCGCACCAAGTGCCAAAAAACCCAAGAGTCTGCATCTTTATTGATATTGAATCGGACAATATAGATTCAAGTGTTGAAAAATAAACTTGTCTTTTAATATTTAAGAGTTTCCTTCGTTAAGTTACTACATTAGTGGTATGTTAATGGGAATTGTTGTTACAAATTGGTGGAATGAGTGAGTCTCAAATATTGGTATGAATAGTCCTTAATGTCAAAATGTCAAGAGTTAGTTTTAAAATATTATACATAGCTATGTAATCTATATATTGGTAGAATGAAAGAATGTAATGAAAAATGAGAGTAGTAGAAGTGAAAATAATTTATTTTCCAATTCTCTTCCATATTTGTTTGAGTGATTGTTGTGTAGCCTTTTATTTCTAACATCAAGCCCACACAAAGTAACTCCTCAACAGTGAGATATTTACATGCCATCAGAAGAGAAATCACAAATATTATATTCTTCATACAATTTTTGCTAACTATGCCTTTTAGCTTCTGACCATTTTCAGCATACAACTCCAACCTAAAATGATCCTCCTCATCCATGCTATTTGACATAAGTTGATTTTAGGAATTTGTAGCATGTAACCAAGATTGGTGAGACAAGAAAGACAAAGAAGAACTAATAAACAATAATTGTAAATGATGATGTGCAAGGGGGCTATGCCCTGCAATTGAGTTGTTAGTGTCTAATGCTTATCAAGATCTACAATACCTTGACACTATAAGCGAACCTGTGGATGGTAAAATCCGAACACTAGGCGACAACCTACTGAGCTAAAGCCAAACAAGGCTGGAGAGGTGGACAACCAAGCTAAAAGTCAGAGCAAGGCCAACCGGTTGAGCTAGGATAGCTTGGGAAGTTAAGCAGGACCATGAGTTAGTATGAACCACGAGCTGCCCAGCTACTCCGACGGATAGTCCGAGCACTGGGGGGACTAGGCCAACGTGTGAGCTACTCATCGTAGACTTCTCCACTCCTTAAAAACGATGGACATGGGACACGATCCCATGCAAAGAGAAATAGTAAGGGAGGAGTGGCTAGGATCTCTTGACCACCCTAAAGGTCGAAAATAAGGCCTACATGAGCAAGCAAAGTGCACACGATAATCTTTACTCAAGGTATACTTTTTGGTGCTTATTTTTATTATTGACTTAGGCATCAGAGAGTCCGTCATCTGACCACCCGAGCCGGAGTTCTTCCTTTTTGAGTGTTTCAGGCAAACAGTTCGAGTGTTGAAGTAATCCAACGCCGTTGCACAAGTGCAGTAAGTTTTTCCCCACATAGAACCCAAACGGAAGAGAAACCATGATGTGCTCTCTGCATATCAAATAGAGCATGAACTGGCCAATACACTTGTGGTAAGCTATAAGAAACAAATGAAAAAAAAAAAAGAAAAAAAGCCACAAGACCAATTGAAGAGGCAAAACCATAGTGGTCCAAATCACAAAATTTAGCCGTAAAGAGAGTACTAAAACTGGCATGGCAAATATTTGAATGAAATCCTAATACATTCTTGTTCATACCTGCTGCATTGCTGGCAGAACCGTTTCTTGTGGCCACCAATTGAAACCTCTGCAGTTTTGGAGTGCATCTCACAGACCTTATGGCGCCGATGGTAATCTCTGCAGTTACTAAGGTCAGCATTGCATCCGTCGATGCAGCACAATGCTGCCTGAATTCCATTATTAACTACCCGTGCCCTCTTCGATGAGACCGGAGACAAAAACTGCATTTTTGGAACACTTGGTACCTGTAAACTGTCCTCGGACTCATTGCCTGCATTACGCACATGACCAAGCTTCAAATCAAATGAAAATTCCCCCTTGTTCCCCTGACCTCCATAGCTGCTTGAGCTTGACCCACTAATTGGACTGATGTTAGGACTAATTTCTTGTTCAAATCCAGTTAAATCCCAAGAAGGTGACCTCAAATTCCAATCCATAATGTCTACCACTTCAATACTTGTTCTTCAATGTTCAAAATTCTCTTTCCTTCACTACACAGTCCACCACACCTAATTATTAATAATAGACAGTGGTTAGTCTTCACTTCTTCACTTCTACTACAATTTTATCAAAAACAAACAAGAGTAATCACTCAATAAATGGACCTAGTAATTGAAATCCAGGCAAATTAATAACAACCCAGTTCACACTCTATAGTAATTGGTATTGGTTATCCTAAAACTGTCAATTTTCAATAAGATCAGAGAAGTTAAAACTATCATATACAAAAATATATGAACAAATAAAGCAGAGAAAACCTAGAAATCTAAAGGGCAGCAGACAAAAATATGCAAGAAACACATAATGGAAACATAATAAGAACTAATCAGCTATTTTACAGACAAAACCCCAAGATAATTGGAAGCGAACAAAAAAGGGTACTGTGTACTAACAGGAAGTGAACAACAATATCTAGAGAGAGAAAGGAAGAGTACTTACAGACGGGTGCAGCAGAAGAAGACTGGTTGAGCTTTCCAGCCATTCATTGCCTGACTTGGATTCCATTCAAAATTAATAAATAGGGTAGGTAGGATAAGGAAAAATAAAAATAAAAAAAAAATAAAAAAAACAAAAACTCAGACAGGATAAGAAGAATCACACCCTGTTTCAATTAGAGACCAAAAACAAGGAGATTAGTGGATAATGTATTATAATCAGAGAGGATAATTCATAATTGTGAGTGAGTGAGAGAGAGAGAGAGAGAGCGCAACTAAACTAGTAGATTAATGGTCAAAGAGAGAGGCAGATTAGATTTGTTTTATGTGTGTATATAAATTTCATGATTAGAGTGTTGTTTGAAAGTTAGAAGTTGATAAAGAAAGGATACAATAGGGACAGGTTGTATGTCCCTTTCAACTATGCAGACTAAAGAAAAGTACACGAGGATGGATGCGTAAGAGATAAAGCATGTGCCATCGTGTTTCACATTTCATGGCATGTTTTTTTGTGTAATTTTATTTAGGGTGATTTAAAAAAATATATTTTTTAATTTTTTTACGAAAAAATATATATAAAATATTTTTTTTTAATTTTTTACGAAAAAAAATAAAGAAATAATCTGATTCAAATAAATGTATTTATCTAAATAAGTACACTTATATCAATGATGCCAAATTCTCATGTTACCATACAATAATATCAAACAAATAGGAGACCATCATTCCAAAATGAGCATAATGTTGAAAGCTTGCTCTCGTAATAGGAAACCATCATTCCAAAATGAGCATAATTTTGAAAGTTTGCTCTCGTTTGGTAACGTTGTTTTTTTTTTTTTTTTTTTTTTTTTTTTAGAATTTTTTAGAATTTTTTTTTTCAAAGATTGAAAACTAAAGTTTATTTGGTATGTCGCTTTTGTTTTTTAAAAAATACAAATGATTTCAATTTTTTTTAAATGAAATAAAGGTAATTTCATTTATTTTTAAAATAAGTTTTTCTCTCTACCATATCTCCCAAATTACCTTGAGCCACTATTCATTATTGCCACTAGCTACCACCACCCACTGCCAAACACCACCAGCCATCATTGGTCCCAACCGACCATAGGTGACACTATTTTTTCATAGATTTTAACTTATTGACGTACTTGTATTTTACTAGTACCAAGACTCGTATCTGTACACGTGTTTAATGGATTATTGACAAATGGTTAGAACCAGCTTGACCTATTGACCGACTAAGTAGAAGATAAGATTGACCTATTGATCTCATTTCGCTAGACCTTATTTGTAGTCCAAGCACCACAAGCACAGGTTATAGTGATATTTAGAGATTATTAAACACTCTTATCCAGTGTTAGGTTTGGATCTTGAATTCAGACTAAAATTTTTGAAGAGTTAAGAAATAAGAAAACAAAGTACTAAGATCCAAACATAATTTTAAAATGTATATATGTATATATTATTTAATAATTTTAAATTCAAAACTCAAATAAAATTTTTAAAAAAATGTTTGAAGAAATTCACTAAGATGGTGAAACTAGAGTTGCTTAGGCCCCAGATGACAATAAGGCATGGTTTTTTACGTTTGTTTTGAGAAGTAGGTTAAAAGTTAATTTTATTTTATTTTATTTTTTTTGTTGAAAAAATGATAGAAAATTAAAGAGATAATGTGACTCAAAAAATTCAAAGAAACTAAAAAAATTACTTTTAACTATCTTGGGAAAACAAACCTAAGTAAAAAATTTATTTACTTATTTGGTACAAATTATATCATACCATCTCTATTTTCTTACACTATTTTATTGATTTGCTCATGCTGACCACATGATTGTTGTTTTTGACATGAGTAATATTAGAGATCATGAAAGAAATATCATGAAATGCATCATAAAGATTTTTTATCATTTGATTAGTATGTGGTGTTTTATTATGTATGTAATCTAAAGGTGGAAAATCTTTCATAATCATTTTCATAATACTTTTTTTATGATCCCTAACATTACTTGTATACATGTATTAGATCATCAACCAAGATGGCCACCAAAGACATTTTTGCTTTTGTCATTAAAGACACATGATTATATTTTGAAAGATGGTTAAAAATTGATTTTTTTCAATTTTTTTTCTTTAAAAAATGTATAAAAAATATGAATGATAATATGAACCAAAATAAATTAAAAGCATGAACCCAAACAGTTATGCTGCAGACCCCCAGTGAAGTGGCAAGCCCCCACTGGTTGAAACTCAAAAAAAAATAAAAAAATAAATAAAATAATTTTTTTTTGTCCAATCACAGCGCGCCACCTCACTGGAGGTCGACCCCCAGTGGGGTCCGAAGCATTTTTCTGAACACAAAATACTCCAGAGTCAGTGGTAAACTTTGCTGACGTTGACAATAGTTTTTGTTTTGCTGACGTTTACTCAAAAAAATTTTTAGAAATAACAATTAATAATTAAAATTTATTTCACTCGTCGACCCTACATTTTAACAAATTGATCTTCACTATACAAATAAATTCTGGACAAATTCTGCGATTATAAGACCTTATTTATCATAACCTAAAAAAGTCAAAAAGTCACTATTCTATTTAAATCACATCACCTCTCTATCATATCACTTCAAACGCAACCCATATTTCATAAAAAGTCAAAAACTACATTTATTTAGATCATCCCAAACAACTCCTAAATCTAGATTCCTATCTTTTTCATCAAAGATATCACAAATGTTACCTACTCCCCCCGCCCAAAAAAAAATAAATAAATAAATAAAATAACTATCAAGTGTGTTTCCACAAACTTAAAGTTGATAAAAAAAAAAGTTTATGAATTTAATTATTAATATTTATAAAAAAAAATTATTAATTTGTAATTTTTTTTTAAATATAGACTGAATTAAAATTTCCTCAAAATTTCTGGGCATCCTGGTGGTTTGGGATGTCCTAAATAAGTACACCTTTTGACTTTTTATGAAATATGGATTGGGTATGAGTTGGGTTTAAAATGATGTGGTAGAGAGGTGATGTGACTTAAATAAGATGATATGACTTAAATAAGATAGTGACTTTTTGATTTTTTATATTTGTTAATTTATGCCAAACAAGGTCAAATAAGATGATGTGACTTAATTCCACAAGCCAAATGCATTAGATAGGTAGTGTGTGTCTTACATATGCCCTTCTGGCATACTTTGTTTGTCCAAGTAGGTTGAATAAGATTATAAGAAGGGTGAGAAAATAAGAAAAATTTTGATGTTAGAAATGATATGTTGCATTTGGTTGTATACGCAGGTATGGTAATATTAGTTGGTTAATATTGAATCTGCGAAAATTATGTTAAAAAAATATTCAATATATAAAAAGTGACTTTTTTGTTTTTATAAAATAGGAGCAATAGGGTCTTTCACCTCCAATCCCGTGGAATTTGATTAGTAAATTAAAGTCCCATAAACGGTTCAGTTTAATCGGTGTTGAGGGAAAATTTAGCACTGAATCGAACTTTTTAATTTTGAAGATTGAGGAACCGACACAAACCGTATATTACGGTTCGGTATTGTTGATTTCACATAATTGAGAGATTCAAATGAGCTTTTAAAAGGTTTTATAAAAACTGGTATAATTTTACATTGAATGAAAGGTTGCTCTACAAATGACTTCCAATTTTTATCACAAACAGTATATTATATTGATCATTTATCTTTTAACAATCAAAAGGATTAAAGAATAAACGTATTTAAATATAACATTTGGTCAATTCAATTTACATCGGTGTAAATTTTTTATAATTGATACAAACTATAAATTATAAAAACCATACCAAAAATCAAAATTTCGATGGATTTTGATCGATTGGTTTGGTTCCATCTGCTTTTCTTACACACGGGATTGCTAATCTCTTTCTTAGAAGAGTTTCATAATGCTATGATAGCAAACTCTGAAATCAAATATGACTTTTTATGGAGCTCACGGATTACCCAATAGAATAAATTATTAATAGGTACTAATAGTTGAATTTAATTTTTATCAAGTTTTATTAAAAATAAATCCTAATAAAATTATCGTTAAAAATAATTATCGTCAAAAATAATTTTTTGAGACGATTTTTTGCATATGTCGCTAAAAATTGACGATTAGCGACTTTTTTTGGCGCAGTTTTTATAAATTGTCACTAAAACTTACAATTAATGACGTTTTTCTGTGACAAATTTTTTAAACTCTCATTGAAAGTTGTAAATTATTAACCTTTTTTTTTGTGACAAATTTTTTAAACTGTCACTAAAATTTATAATTAATGATATTGTTTGTGACAAAATTTTCAAATTATTGTTGAAAATTAACAATTACTGATGTTTGTTAATAGTGTTTGATAAAACATGTCATTAATTATCATAGGACCTATTAACAATAAGTTTACCTATCAGGGCCTACACGGAAGTCTCCTTTCAGAATACAATCCCCCTCCTCAAATCCCTAAATAAACATGGCCCTAAATTCTAGAGCAATGATATAAGTAAACCCTTTTGTTACTCTATCTTTTCACATTTAGAGAAATTTTTGTATGTGAATAGAGTACCATGTGCTACTACCTTCCACCAGTTACAAATATATATTTTATTTATTGTTCTTCAAATACCCAACATAAATGTAGTGAATCTTACTGTCAAAATCAATCATAATAGTAGAAGGTATCACATGGCATATACTCTATTCGTATAAAAAAATTACTTCACTTCTAGACACAAGTCAATATAACCCACATTAATAAATACGCATAGAATATACTTCATGTTTAAGACTATAAAAATAGAATAAAAAATGAAAAATGAAAACACTCCAAGGCTTGACCCATGTAACAAAATAAATCTTGAGTTTTTAATTTTATCAATTTAAACTATAATATTTTGTTTTGTTTTCAATCTAAACCATTTGCCTATTTTCGTTATATAACATTGATGAAAAAAAAGATTACTTTATGTTGGGAATTTTTTAAAATGATTTACAAAATTAATAGTATAGGCTTTGGGTGTTTCTATAACCTTTCTTGTTTTTCTATGGAAAGCTTGAAACAAACTTGGGGACTTTGTCCCATATTGGAAAGAGAGAAAAATATGGATCACTTAATAAAGTGCTATATAGAATATTCCTTCCATGTGGAATTGTGAAGTGAATGCTAGTGGAATTGTGAAGTGAATGCTAGTGTGTATACACCCACACCGCAAGCTCTCTATGCACACACACACACATAGTGTGGGCTATGCAATGTTTGATGGCCCAC